AAGGCAGCTATCTGAAAGTGAATGAGACATTTGAGAGAAATCAAATCTGTGGACTCCTTGCTTTTGGACTCTGACCTCCAGATATGTGAAGCAGAGACTTGTGTTTATTAAGCCACCCGGTGTGCAGTATTATGACACCCAAGCACACTCCTATAGTACTGTAATAATTTTCTTTTACTACTATGATGTTAACACAAACCTAGTAGCGTAAGAGAATACAAATTTATTATCTCACAGTCCTATAGGATAAATGTTGAAAATGGATCTTACTGAGCTAAAATCGAGTTGTCATTATGGCCCCATTACTTTCTGGATGCTTTATGGAAAAAAAATGACTTTCCTAGTTTCTACATAACAACCATATTTTTGGGCAAGTGACCTTCATTCTCCATCATCAAAGCCAACAATCTTTCATCTGTCCAGCTATTCTTCCCCCATCACATCCTTTTCTTGGACTCTYTTCCTTACCTGTCTTCAAATGTTCAAGATCGACTGATAACACTGCACTCACACAGATAATCCAGAATAATCTCCCTATTTAATGCCATTTGAGGGAGTCCAATGTAACTAAGATTCCACATGCAACCTTATTCCTCTTACCCTGTAATGTAACACTGTTTCAGAGAATTAGGATGTAGATGTCTTTGGGGGAAGAGCATTATTCTGCCTACCACAAGTCTTACTGCAAAGTTGTTGGAGAGTTCCTTAAAGAGCCCATCMTTCAGGAACTGGAACAATTGAGGAACTCTTGTGAATCCCCACAATAAGGACAGTCAGATTTCTTCTCACCAGACCCAGAAATTTTCTATTTATATAGATCAAGTAGTTCCTTAAGAGACCACCCCACATTCATTTACTTCATTTTGTGATAATTATTTCACATGTACTTCATTTTTTGATAATTAATATGGAAGATTAACTCTCCTTCCTTCTACAAATGTCCTGCTCAATTGTCTTTTTGCCAAACCCAATCAGTAGCTAGAGGTCTAGGGGGCCTCTTAGGGAAACTAGAGGGGTGAAGGAAGGAGGAGAGTGGGTCCTGCGTAATAAGTGAGAAATTTCCATCTTTTGATGGAGRCCAGGAGGCACAGATCTATCCTTCCTGATGAATAGATTTCAAAGGAATAGCATTCAAGTCCTTGAGAAAGATTCTCCTGAGTTATAGGAGATGTGTATACAAAGGGTGAGAGAGAGGGTTTGAAATTATACACCCTTCTTATCAACTGTTCTGAGAAAAATGGTCAGGTGGAATAAACAGTAAATTCTGTTGRTAACTGAACTTTCCAAGACAGGAAATCAAAGGGGGCCTGGCTTGCCCCATGGGCATGCCTTTAAGCTGCTAGAAGCCATGTCAAAGTTTGGTGAAATCTCCAAGTGCAGGGTTTTCAATAGAGTGTGCCTGGAAATTAAGTGTCATTACAGTCCATATTATCTTCCCCACATGGTTCTTGGTTAGAATTTGCCAGTGAGTGGTCCTCTCAGGAGACCTGGGCAACAAAAGACAAAGGGACTTTTCTTCTCTGWTTGTAAGCAGATGAAAGAACAATGAAAGATTTGAGCTTTAGAGACACTCCTGAAAATTATCAATAGTAACTTCCAGAAATATAATGGAGGGAAATGGGGATGTATAGCATATGCAATTATGTGTGTTCAGGAAGGCTAAGTGACCCATGTGGCTTATTGGAAAAAACTTCATGGAACAAATATTCTAGTAGGGGCTCTGTCACTGTCAGATGACCCTAGATAATCTATTGAAGGGACTTTCAGTTCTTTCATTTCAAAATAAAGAGGTTTGGCCTTGAGAATAAAAGGATATGAAGCATGTGAAGTTGTTATAAAGCAAATGGTATCCACACTGCTTCAGTCCACTTGGCTATGGTACAAGTCCCATTTTATTTTTGAGCCCCTAGGCAGACATCCTATAACAATTTCAGAGACTTCTGGGTAAGAATTTGCTTGATGCATTTTACTCAAATTTAAGTTAAAAGACACTTTTTCAACATTTAAACTTTTATCTAAACCGCTTGGTCTTTCATCACAATTTTGAAGCCTTACTTCTCTAAACTTGATGCATGTGCATTCATGTTTTTAAAATAGCACAAGAAATAGGCTCACATTCACTTTTTTTTCTTATATTTTTGTCTTTTTAGTAAGGCAGGATCACGAGGAAAGGGTGGTTGTGAACGTTGCTCCTGGTAGACAGCTGAGCTGGCAAGGAAATTAGTCACTAGCACTTTGCCTATATTTTACTTTTTCGACTTCCCTAATTGCCTAAGGAGTATGTGACTTTAGGGTGGGGATATACTTGCTTGCCTTTCAGTCTGAGGTCTCCTGTTCATCTGGCTAAGAGATGGTTTGTGTTTAATGGCTGCTGTAGGTACAGCTGTCAGGGGCTAGAATTTCCCCCACTGGCTTTGTTTTTGTGTCCTCTATTGTMTTTGGGTTTCCCTTCAGACTTCCCTTAAAAAGGACCCTGGAGGCTTTTCCAGTTGCTAGCCCCTGGTGTAATACTGTAGCTGCTGAGGAAGTGGCAAAGTTTGGGGGAGGAGAAGCCATCTGTAATTTTAAGCATTAAATCTTAGTCTTGTAGTGAGTCCTTTTCCTTGCTTGGATTGTGACCTGCACAAGTGTTTCTTGGCTTTCTGTGTTTTTAAAAATTTAGTATTATTATTTTTCTATTCCCCTATCCAGTTGGACTGACAGGCCATYAGGAACTAGAATTGAGTAATTGCCCTTCAGCTGTTCAGGTAAGGAGACTGGTAAAGTCTTTTCAATGGAGACTAGTTATTTGCTATTGAAARCACTCAGGGTATATTTTTAAATGATTGCATTTCCCCTACCTCTGCCAGAGACATTGAGTGATTTTTCTTAGCTCTACATTTTGAAAGCCTGATGGGATTCCTGGAGGTAAAGCCCATGAATATTTGAGGGGGTGTGCCCTGAGACTGCAGCCCATAGGAGTCTTTTGTTCTAGTGCTGGTCTACACTCAGCCTTCTGGAGTTTGCCAGAATTTCCTTTTAAGTTTTTCTACTAGATTTTAACCTCCAGTGGCTTTTTGCAACAGGAAACTGGTGTGATTCTCTGTATCTGCCCATCTCTCCCAATGTCAAGATGGTGATTTTTCCCTGAACCTCAATTCTTTGATGGGTCCAAGAAAAGTCATTGATTTTCAATTTGTTTTGCTCTTTTCTTGGTATGGCAATGTTAGTAGCAACTTGTGAGCTCTTTAGGAATCCAAGCTAGAACTCTATATCTTCTATACACTTTCTTTGAAATGCTATGTGATATAGTCTAGTGTTTCTCAAAGAAAAGTAAATACGTTGGTCCCTCCACCCCAAAGAATGTTAATTATATTACCTATTTACACATATAAACAGAACTATAATTAAATGAATGCATATAGATAGTCCATGTTTATATATGTAGAAAGAGTGAGAGATTTTTGTAATGAACAATTAGATTGGTGAAAGGGTGTGGAAGTAATCAAATAGAGAAGTGGTTAGCATTGTGGAAATACWTCTTATACGTAACCATAGTACAGAGGCATACTAGAAATAGAGCCCACTCTGACCTAAAAAAGTCCTCAGTAGGAATTCTATGAATTTTGGAAAGTTGGTGTCTCRGCTTCTTTTTCCCAGAGTCTGATTTTTCTAATCCTATACTTGTGACAGGGTGTTCAAATTCAGCAATATAAAGAAGGAGTTCTTAAACTCCAGATTCTGAAGACCCCCAAAGGATCATATTTTCCAAAGAGAGATATATATATACAAGTGTTTGCAAGGGAAACAGAGTAAATTTGATGTTAGTTCCTTGTCATCTTCACCAGGAATTTCTTGATAAACCATTGTGACAAAGGAATAGCCTAACAGCCTTCAGACCAGTCCTGCCTGGCTCAACTTGTGATACCACTTCATGTGGCTAAAAATCATGTGGCTTGTTTTAATGCTTCTCTTACTATTAGCTTTTATTTATTAATTTATTTTTTTCTATGGAGCTGGGGATAGATCCCTGGGCTCCACACATGCTGGGCAAGAGCTCTACCTGAACTGTATGTCTCCTGTTCCACTATTAGCCTTTTAGTGACTCAGCAATGTTGTTGGTTTGTGTCTCTCAAATGCTGTGCACCACTCTTGAATTCTTCCTAGCAGCCATACTGTCTTCTGAGAGATGATGTCTATGGGCTTGACAGTTTGGGCCATCATTTATGAGGAATTATAATCCCTTCCTGTTTAGACACCAAAAAGAGCCTGTGGAGTAAAAGTAAACACATGCTCCCAGAACTATTATTTATAAAATGTAGCTCATTAATGTCATGTTGAATGCTTTCCATGTGTGTCTAATTTGAACTTGTTGAATGTTAATAATTAAACGAGGTAGAATGTATGCAACTGTGACAGGGCAGAAAATAAAGGGCTTTCCTCTCCTATGTTCCCATGCTTGACACCCTCCTGCTACTAGGACAATAACTTGTTAGGTGCTGAAAAGAGAGATGATGCTAAATTCAGTACACAGAGAGTCAAAGTGAGCATTATATGATTATTACTTTTATTTACTAAGCCTCATATCCTTTCCTTTTGTGTTTTATGTTTTAGTGTAAGGATAAAAGGTACAGGAGAAAGATGAAACAAACATGGTCTTCTTTATATATTATATAGTATGAAAGAAGAGTAAGTGGGACTGATGAATGCTAACAGGGGGCATGAATAGCTTATTAAAAGGGAAAAGTCAATCTCTTATAAAGTATGCACCCCGTTCCAATACCCTTGTTGCTTATCTTTTTACTTCTCTCCCTCTTTATTTTTATCTCTAYTTATTTATTTATTTTTACTGTCTTACATGGGGAGAAGGAATGAGTTATCTGACAAATTYAGATTTTGCAAACCAGTGCATTGATGAGAACACTACTGAAATACATTGCTAAGAAAATTTTCAACACAGGAATGTGTCATTTCCTTTCTTCATAGACCAGATGCTGAAATACTATGAGATAAAGATTTTGGGTTTCAATTGTAAAGAGAGGGAAGTGGACAAATCAGAGCTGCCTTCTTTACAATCAAAGGTAAAAGATACTTATTTTTCTCCCCAAATTGCCTTTATTGATTGCATGAGTCTGGTGTGTGTGTGTGTGTGTGTGTGTGTGTGTGTGTGTGTGTGTGTGAGAATGATAGAGAGAGAGATACTAGTGATACTACATATGATCAATAGTTCTAGTACAGTGTTTTATTCTATCACTAATAATTTGCTTTCATTGTTTTGAATGGTAAAATATATTTCTGTTCAGGTTTCCATGAGTGAAAAAAAATGGATGTGTGTGTGTGCAAAATACACTAAATACTTTGTAGTTTAAACTGGAAATTTTTGTCATAAGATTATTCATATTTTGTTAAAAAATATTGGCTTTGTTCCAAGTATTATTAATAAATTTTCATTCTATTTCTTTCTTTCCTTTTCACCTGACACTTTTGGCTATAACTTTAAGGGGTTTATGATCCTTACTTGCTCATAGAGCAAATATTAGCTGATTACCTACTATATGCCATTGGTTGAACTAGATGTGAGGAAAGGTTACAAAAGATGAAATACATTTTTTTGTATCTTCAGGAATTACATGATCTAGTGCATGTATCCAAACAGGTGTAATGCAGTTTGAACACCCTAAGGAGCATAAAGGTGCTGTAGATAACTCCTAAGAGAATATAGGAGAAGCCAAATTATTTCACAGGAAGAAAATACTATTAAAAAATCCTCATAGAGATGCTAGAATTTAGGTTCATCTTTAAGACTGGGCAAGATTTACACAGAATAGGATGGGGGTGGTTGTTGTCACCGGCCATGGTAGAAAAGTCACAGGACTGAGATTCTAAATGYCTTGTACAGTGTTCAGGAGTTTTTGTTTGTAGTAGCTAAGGGCTGATATTCTGCAAATATACTGCCTGTTTGCATTTAAATCTCCACACCCCACTTCAAGTTMTATAATATTAAGGAGTTACATGAAGCTTCAGTAAGAATAAAATATTTTAAAAATGAATTTTAAAATAATGGTGATTTATTTGCTGATGCTTTCTGTGTACCAGGCAATTTATTGATTGATTGATTTGAGAAAAAGGAAAAAAAGATTTATTGCTTTGCTAGCAAAGGAGAAACACCTGGGACTCCTGTCCCAGAGGCTGTGATTCTKCCCATCAGCAGGAACAGGTAGCTTTTAAAGAAGTAATTTCATGTATTCTCTGTTGGAGTTGTAATTCAATTGATAATTTGGGAGATAGTCATTTCCGAGATCTGGTACCATCCCCAAACCCTGGATTACTTCTTTCCTATGGTGAGTATGTACTCAAGGACAGATTAACTATGTCTAGAAAAGAGAAGAAAGGTAATCCTGTTTCCCCTGAGATTAGGGAGGGTTAGGGTTAGGCATAGGAAGAGAGGAAGAGAAAGAAACATGTCCGATTTAAAAATAAATTTCAGTGGCAGAGCAGCAAGGGATATATTCCAAGCATGAAGTGGACCACTGTTACATTTCCCCACTTTCAATTTCTACATTCCATTTCTATGGAAAAATGAGCATTGATATCTCCAAGCTGCTTCCTGCTGAAAGAGGGCAAAKTTGAGAAAGTAACCCAAAGTCCTTGTTCTCTATCAGGTACAGCATGGACAGTTAAGGGTAGTCAGCATCAGAGCAGTCCAGAGGTCCACAGTGGCAGATGGCAGGTGACAGGACAAGATATATATACGGCGGGGATCAGGCTAAGAAAACAATAATCCTAGACAGCAAAGCATTACTTCTTTGTAAACACTTAGAACATAAGCARTTAGTACTTCAGCCAGTCTCTGCAAACCATGAAGACCGTAACTCAGAATCATATTTATGAAAAAGAGATCAAGTTTGTCATTGCAGGAGGAGAGGAATATTTGTAGATCTCTAAAATCAGACTCAAATTAACTCAGGACAAACTTGAAACTCTAGAGTCTTTTGTGATCATTATTGTTAGGCACTCCCACACAAGTACTCTTTCTTTATAGCCTCCAGCTTTACTTACCTTTGTTGGGCTGACACAAGTGTACATCTTAAGCTACATTAAAAAAAAAATAATCTTGTAAGTTGGTCAAAACTGACCTTGTTCCTATCTACTCTTAATAGTCAGCTGAGATTCCTCAGAGATCACTCTTGGGGATGCGTGTGAATCCTGTTGGCTTCTTTAGCTTTCCTCYACCAGTGGTGCCATGTGCCAGGACAGGTGAGGGTCCTGTTGATCATATATGGCTTCTCTTAGAAATATCAGGGACATTTCCATCTCCAATGACCTTCCTCTTTGCAGAATGTGCACTGCACCAGGCAATTTACCAAAAATATTTTTAGRCCCCATAATAATTTTAAAATTGATTTTGTAATCATATATATATGTTTACATATGAAGAAATTGTGATTCAAAATTTAAATATTTTCCTAAGATCACACAGCTAGATAGTGTCATAGCCAATATTCAAGTCTAGAATCCTTCCCACAGACATATTCTTTAAGGGTAGAGCAGTTGGCTGTAAAGATATATTGATTAAAAAGTTTACCTACACTTTCAACTATTCTAACAAAACCAAGGCTTTTATTTTTAAATCATAAGGAAGCTTCCAAAATAACTCTTCTAACTTAATGGGGAATTGACCTTAAGAATGCGCTGACACATCTAAACAGGGCACAATGTTAGAAGAATATACACCAAATTTAAAAAGACGTGGTAACTATATGCTACAGATAGAAAAGTTATTACACACACACACACACACACACACACACACACACATTAAAGCTGCCCTGGGGATGTCCAGCAGTGGATATGAATTGACAAAAACCCAAGAAGTAAGGTAAATAATCAATACTTACATGGAATATCTCTTGGGTGGTAATAAGAAAAAAAATGAAAATAAAAGCCACCTTGAAGTATTATTTTAACTCGTCTCAAAATGTAAATAATTCTTAATTATAAACATTGTTAATCAATGGTGCTGAATTTTGTTCAACACTTCCATGCTCAATATGACATAAATATATATAAAATTTAAAACAACAGGCAGTAAATTCCRAGAAGTTCAAGATAGTTTTCCTTTTGCCTGTTAGTTCAACATATATATGGCAAAGTATCCTAAAGTGTTTGAAAAGAATAAGGACAAATTATGAAAATATTTCATTATAATTATATTAGCAAAAAGTAGCCCTTTGGATAAAAGGGAAAAATTAAAAAGAAAAAATTTCATGATAAGAAAGTGGCTATATAAATAAGATATGTATATATAATCAATGAATTATTAATAGCTCATTATTTTAAATATAAAATATCACTTGAAGGATAAAAATGCTGATGTGATTTTAAAGGAAATGCCTAATACTAAGTAATTTGAACTGTGACAGCAACAATATAACATGTATGTATATGTATAAAACTCAAGTTTCATAGGAAAAACAAAGGTATTCTTTTTCCAGTGCTATGATAATGGAATGACAGAAATTTTGTTTTTACCTTTCCTTTAATATTGTTACAATATTTTCACAAACAATATCCAAGAAAAATAAAGGGTATGGCTTCCAAACACATTAACCTTGCAATGCTTTCATTATGGTTTTCCTGTTTTTGCCTCTGTAAACTTTTCACCCTCTCTATGAAAAGCTGATATTGCAGACATGTGTTTCACTTCTCATGAGAACATGCTTTCAATAGTTTGTACAAACCCACAGGATTTCACAATCCCGTATAGGTGCATTGACATTTGGTTGGAAAAGTAACTTTGGTGTAGTTGCTTTTTCTTTKAACTTTGGAAATGATAGTTAAAGGCACACTGGAAAGGTGTGTGTTGTCTTCTGTCTGCTAACCAGGCCCTCCCTTGTGTATGTGTTTTAACGTCATTTTAAAAATTATAATAGTCAGAATAGAATTGAAAATATCTGGTAATTCTAATAATGAACACCTCTGAAGCAGAGTGAGGTCATTGAGGGTGATTTTTTTTWAATTTCAGTTTACAAATGACATGCAATTCAGAGAAAAAAAACACTTTATCTTCCAATATGTAACAGAATTTTAAAAATATTTTCAAATTAATGAAATGTGAACTTTTCTTCAGGCATACACCAAGATTTGGTCATCTTGCAAAATACTTTTTTTTTCATCTGTGCAATTTTTTATATAATATGTATATAATGGCTACTTCATAACTGTGAGAAACTAAACTAACTAACTAAAACAATGAAAACCCATATCATGCACCTAACTTGGGTGAGAGAAGACACACAACAGTTAAGACAAATAAGGGAATTTTATTTGTGTTAGATGATGACACTTTTAGGAGGAGAAAAATCAAGACAGGAAGGGAAAAAAGAGGTATGATAATATGATATTTATTTTCTGATTTTCCACCATTATTTCTGGTTCATACTTCCCTCCTGAATGCACACATAGGAACTCCACCTACCCTTAGTAGTGAGTCATAAGACCCTTATTATTACAGAGGGGTCCTTCCTACACTCTGGTGAGGATTGCTTCACTGACAGGCCAAGAAGAATCTGAGTAGACAGGCCTTGCTGGGTTTCCTCACTCAGACTACCAGCCATCACGCCTACATAGTGCAGCGAAGGGCAGATTTGTAAGAGCTTCCAGAGAGCTGAACATGTGCAGGTTCTTGGAGAGTGGAGCACCTGAAGAGAGCATGGAAGCTATGTGCCTCTTCTCCCATACCTTACCACATACATGTCTTCATCTGGCTGCTTATTGGTATCCTTTTTACAATATCTTTTTCAATACACTGGTAAATGTGTTTCCCTAAGTTCTATGATTAGCTCTAGCACATTAGTCAAACCAGAGGAGGAGGTTATGGAAACCCTGATTTTTACTTGGTCACTCAGAAGTACAGGGGATACAACTGGGACTTGGGGTTGACATCTAAAGCCAAGGTGGGGTAGGGGGCTATCTTGGGGAATGAGCCCCTCTACCTGTGAGATCTGATGTTATCTCCTGGTAGATATTGTCAGAACTAAAATGGAGTAGAGAACCATCAGCTAGTGTTGGCTGCTGCAGAATTGCTTGCTTGTTGGTGAGGCAAAATCCCTACACCTCTGAGGTCACAGAAGTAACCTGTGTTGTGAGTGTCACAGGAAAATTTCAGTCTTGAGTGATAGTAGTGAATTTGCCTTTTGTATGTTTAGGAAGCAAAATGAGAAGGTTATAATTCTAAATCTGATGCTCAGGAAAGGCCTCCTTTTGGGGGGAGCAGGGGAATGGCATGATGTATCTACTGGAGAGGATCGCTTGGGAGACTGTGTGGAAAAGGAAGTATGGAGTAAAGGCCGAAGTGGCAGATTGGAGACCTAATAAAATAGTGAGCAGGACTAAAGAGGATAAGACTTGGACAGGGTGAGTGGGGGAAAGGTAGAGTTGCAGTCAGCTTCTTCATTGGCATATGGCCAACAGGATCTGATGAGGAATGGCATGAGGAGGATGAGAGGTGAGAGAGAAAGAAGACCTCTAAGTCTGTTGTTCATGCCTTCATGCCTTTAACRTTAACTATTCTGCAATAATTTCACCCTCTAAGTGTGGAGCAGGTTAGAAATCTAAGTAGTCATGGTAGGCAGTTGCATATAAGGGTCTAGAGTTGAGTGGTCTGGGAAAGAGGTAAAAATGGGAGTGTCCCCACCCATGTAGGTAGTATTTAAAGCAATGAACCTAGTAATATCACCAAGGGAGTGAATATGGAGATTAAGGGTTACAAGAACTGCACTCTAGCACACTGTGGTGTTAAGAGATGAAAAGATGAGGGGGAATACCTAGGAAATATTAAAACTCCACTCAATGTAGTGTCCCAGAGCATAATCAGCAAATCTCTTCTCAACAAGAACCATGAACATGACCAGCTTTCTGGTATACACACAAATCCTTTCATTTCATTTTATTTATTTATTTTTTGTGACATTTAAAAATTCTTTTGAATGATATACAAAATGCTATATTTTGACATATTTATATAAACATGGAGTATAACTTTTTAAATTAAGATCTCATTCTGGGGTTGTACATGGTGTGGAGATTCACTGTGGTGTATGTACATAGGAAAGTTATGTCAGATTCACTCCACTGTCTTCCCTATTCCTGTTCCTCTCCTTTCCCTTCATTACCCTTTGTCTACTTGCTGATTTCCTAAGAGTCTGTGTCTGYCTCTGTTAACCAAATGAAACAGCTCAAATCCAGTATGGCAAGTCATGGATGTCATTGCATGTCTTGAAATTCTGTTATTTTCCCCTCCTTCATGACCCTAACCACTTTTTTGCTCTACTCTTATGGTATCAAAAAGTTCTCCCTTGTTTTTAGCTGGGTCTTCTTTTAGTCACCTATTTCTCTCTCTTGGGTTTTTGTCCTGAAAAAGTACTTTTTTTTATTGTATGATTTGATTCTCCTACATTGTTAAAATATTCCATTAGTAAACTTTAATTTTCTCCTMATTCTAAAAGCTCTTAGATTTTCCCCTTAATTTTCTATCCCGTTGTTACCATTCAAGATGCCTGGCTGAGGAGATAAAAATGAGCTAAAATATAAAAATTAAGATAGATCACAGAAATGGATTCAAGGAGGTCAGTAGTCSTATATAAGTGGACATGAGTTGTGAAGGTGAGTGGGGTCTGGAAAAAAGCCCTGGCTTCTGGACTGAGTGACTGTCCCTCTAACTTTTTCTTCTATCTTGCCATATGCATGACTTTATCATGTGTTTCCACAATGAAATAAAATGATGATGATATAGTTATAATAATAGATCATATAAATGGATAACATGTCAACACTAAAAATCCTAGAAAATGAAAAGATGGGTTGGTGTGAAAATTGCACCATTATCTCTTTTTAAAAATCTGATTCTGAAACTTGAGAATCAAGCTGGATAATTACTGGCTTGGTTGGTACACAGCAAGTAGTTCAAGTCATCAAAGTAGATGAGACCCCAGAAAGAATATGTAGAAAGTAAGAAAAGAAAAGTAACAACAAAAAACACCAGCAATACTATGACAGCAATGTCTATACTGGGTCCATACCTAATTTCTTTWTATGGAAAAAAATATATATCCTATAGTTCATGATGAATTGCAGTACATTGTCCTAGAAAGAAAAAAAAATAACAGAACTATCATTACACCAGAATTGTCAAGGGGAATATTTTTAATTCATCCACCCACACATTAGATTTTGGTGTTCATCTCCCTTCCAGCCCCCTATACATGTCTGAGGTGTTACACAGACCAAATATGTTCATATAGGCTAAAGCACATATAGACACTGATTAGAGAATTTTCTTTCTGAAAATTTTAATGTCTTGCCAAAGAAACCTCAGTTTATAGATACAGGCATCTGTGAACATTTCTTATAAAATTCCAATGATTAATTTCTTATTAACTGAAACAATTATTATCATTAGTATAAGCTATAAAAAGATAGATCAAAACTTAAAGAAAAGCAAAACTAAATTTAATCTTTATTTCAGGGCAAAAGAGAAAAGAAAAATRTTTAATAGACAATATTTATTATCACTACTGATATTAATCCAGGTTACTACAGTCAGAGCAAAAGAACATGTTATATTTTACTAATTTGTGTAGTGACTTCAATATATTTTGGAAATCCAGATTGATTTATGCAATCAGAAAAATGAGAGAAGTCAATGAACAGGGTCCTGCCAGTTACAAGCTCTGCAGCCTCTCACTTGGCTCTGTACCCTGAACTTCAGTTTGATGATGCTGATCGGCTTAAAGGCATGTTGTTCATGCCTTCATGCCTTTAACGTTAACTATTCTGCAATAATTTCACCCCCAATTTTTGCTTATTTTTTAAAGTGCTCCCCAAATGTCTTTTTTTCTGTGTTTTTACCATGGTTACCTAGTTTCCCCAAAGAGTAAGTCACTCCCTTTGGTATTATGCTTGTGCCTTCTTTGTAAAAAAAAAATTATATATATGTATATATATATGCATATATATCCATATATAAAAATATATTATGTGCATGTATATACACAAAATTATCTATAATATATAATATATAGATATATACACATGTGATATATCATGTGTATATATACAAATATATCACAATGCCAGGTGATTTTTGATAAAGAATACAGTCTTCCTAATTAGTACATAAATAAGATCTTTGGGTTACTAAGACTATTCCATATAGATTGAGCTTGGCCTCCTCCTCAGTTGCACAGAACTTGTTACAATGACTTGATATATAACCTGAAATAATGTCAAATTGTGTAGATAAAAATACATTTATRCCTTGATAAAAGGCCAAGATTAGATCACTGCATCATCATCCTGGAAATTTTCATTTCCCTTTTCTTTAACACGTAACATGTTTAAGTTTTGTTATATAAGAAACATTCATACACGCTTTAAAGGCTCTCTTACACACACATACACACACATAAACACACACACACATACAGTGATTTGAGAGATACTGCCATACAAAATTTGATTAATCTGTATTGTTGTTGAAACCCATGAAGATTTTTTTTTYCATAAAAACTAATGTTATTCAGGATGCATGTAGCACAGTGGTTCTCAAAGAGGGTACAAGTGTGGAAATATATAGAGTTGAGGTTTGTGTGGGGTAAGAGTTTTGCAAATTATTGGTGTTACAAGAATTTAAGAGATATTACTGACATTTATAGGGTGACAACCAGAGTTGGTAAATATTTACACAACTAAGATGGTCCCTAATTAAAAAAAAAAAAAAGTTGTCCTAACCCAAAAACAAGCGATGTTTTCTTGAGAGAATTGCAGTGGGATATGGTCAAATCCAGTGGCTAAGTGGTACAGCCAAAATGCAAACAAACGTAGGTTAGGAACAGGACAGAGGCAGTGTCTCAACAGTATAATTCAGTTCTAAGGAAGCTATCAAAAGACTAAGAATGTAAATTAGAAAAAGAAAAGCCATAAAATCTGAATCACAGACAAAAACTATTTGCCAAGAATCTGTCAGAAGAAGCATACCTCTTCACGTTCTTATATTTCCCAAATCCACCTTACCTCATACACAAAAGCAAAACTAATATATAAAACCAATGCCCTATGAAGCCAAATCATTCATTCAACAAATATTTATGAAATATAGTCTATGTTCCAGGTTGTTTTAAGCATGTGAACAAAAACAGACATAATCTCTGTCCTTATGTAGTTCAGTTTAGAGATATTTTAGTCTTTGTTTTATGTTTCTAAATTGATAAATAGATACTCTGGTAAGGAAAAACTGACTTACAAAGATATGTTTAATAAATTCAAACCAGAAACTCTGATAAGAGGTCAYAGGAAATATTTGTTCCAAATATGCATAGCTATTTGTTCTAAGGGAAATTATAATATTCTTTTCAGCCAAACAGTTTTTTGTCACTTGGGAAAAAAAATTCTTTTATCTAAACATCCTACCTACACTCAAACTCAAAGACAAACCATCTATAAACTCGGAGACACGTTTGTGCATTGACAGATTCGTAAGTTCCACATAAGTCTCTTTATGGGAAAGTTAAAATTTATGTTTAATACATTGCTATATATGACATGTGTATTCATTTTACTAATAATTGTAAAATTGAATGTTAATTATAAATTTCAATTTGAAACATTAGGGGAAAAAACCCTAGCCAATTCATGTGAAATTAATATATTTTCCCATGTGTTTGATAGAAGTATGGAGCAGCTGGATGGCTTTCCTGATCAACTGGAGGACCTGGATACCTATTCAGAATCTGTGAAATTTGATGCTCGTTCAATGACAGCACTGCTTCCTCCCAGTAAGTAGAAAGGGGACAGAGTAACTATGGGCAGCAGGTGCTTGTTTTGTTTTTGAGGGCCATGCTAACTGCCACAAATTGGGTAGCTTAAATTTTCCTCAATAGAAATTTTTCTTTCACAGACTTGAATTCCAGAAGTCTTAATTCAAGGTCCCTGGAAGTCTCTGCACCCTTGTAAAGGCTGAGGGAAAAATCCTCCCAGGGTTCTTCTCAGCTTCTCTTAGGCCCTGGCAATTCTTGGTATTTCTTGGGCTTCTCGCTCTATCAAACTAATATCTGCTTTCTTTTTCCCCCTGTGTAACTCTGTTCTTTTATATTCTTGTAAAGACTCCAGACATTAAGTTAGAGCTACCCTAGTCCAATATGACCTCATTTAAAAGTGAGTATATTTGCAAAGACACTGTTTCCTATCAAGATTACTTCCTTGGGTATATGAGGTTAGGAGTTCAGCATATCTTTTGGGGGCTTTTTGTGTGTGTGCCCCCAAAAGATATGTTGACAGATGAAATACATRTTTATTCAGGTTATGATAAAAGCTCAAAGTATTCAACTGTGTCAGGACAGAATTGTTTAGAATTCCACTATGCCTTAAAGGATGAATATCTATATCCAAGGAAATGGAGAGGGAGGAGCAGTTAGAGAAAGCAGCACACACAAAGCTAAGGACTCGTATGTGAGTTTTTACTAAGGCAAACCTGGAATATAGCTCTCAACCCCAGCTGTGTGCTATGCTAATGATTGATGGGAGAAGGTGGCACCAGTGACATATACATTAAAAGATAATAGTAAAAGCAGCTATAGACAAAGATGCTCCATGATTGAGGAGGGAGGACAAAGGCACTGGGAGCAGGAAAAATAAGAGAAAAATCTGAGTTATTTAAAAGATAAACTACTCAGAACTTGTGATTAATAAATTGTACATGAGAAAGTGGATGACCCACCGGCTTCAGGTTTAGTCAACCTGAACGATGGAATATCCCATCTTGCTTCTGTTATGGGTTATTCTTTTTCTTTTTTCCAGCAATCTTTCCTTTTCTTTCCTTTTCACAATTTTTCTGTTCCTCTTGATCCTTCATAAAACATTATTGAACAACATGTCAAATTTTGTTTTTAAATTAGAAGTCAGTAAACAGAAAGGAAGTTACTTTTTTATTGAACAATAAAAGAAATAGCCACAGAAAAGAAAATTTTAATGGATGTTTTATTCATCTAATCAGACAATTTGTCTTCCCAAACTACTGAGCTTCCCTTGAATGTTAATGTATTTCTACCACAATTATCTTTCCATTATGTGAATCACTGTTCCATATAAATGCATCAGGCTACAAAGTTATGGTTAATATGTTCTGAAATATCCAGAAGATGAGCTTCATTGATTCATTTCAAAATTTAGTCAGCATGTAAATTCTTTTATTTCATTTTAAAAATAATTTTGATATTATATTCAAATCATAGAGGTACACAAATACAAAATTATTGAGATGGAATTGATAAAGAAATATTTTGCCTAATGGTCATTGAAAGTAAATATTTCTCTAGTTTCAAAATATGAAAAAAATCATAATCATGTTGCTTGAGGAATTTTATTTGACCCAGAATATATTCCCACGTGACATATGCAGAAGAAGAATATTTATGCCAACGTATGTTAGTACCAATATTAAAATTTACCAATTAATCCTCCCAAATGAGATAATCGAAACTTGTAGAGGGGAGTAACTTTCTTTTGGACTTTCAGTAAATAGATAAGTGAATCAAGTGTTCATAGTCACACCTGAATCAGCTTTTCCTATGACTGTCCCTTTGTTTGGTACAGAGTAACTAAGAATCTAGTTTTCCTTTGTTTTGTTACAATAGGCTTGGTCCTAATAATATAACTAGAGATTATAAAATTTTAATCACATRAGAGCAGAAAGTTTTCTAACAATAGTTTTGGCTTTTGTGTTTTTTGTAGATCCTAAAAATGGCCCTGCCCTTCAAGAGAAACTGAAGTCCTTCAAAGCTGCACTGATTGCCCTTTATCTCCTTGTGTTTGCAGTTCTCATACCTATCATTGGAATAGTGGCAGGTATGGAATTCTAGAATATTGAAAATTAGCAATTCATCTTGTGAATTATTAAATGTAAAAAAACAGCATTCAGTTTTCTTTTAATTTGGTAGATGCATAAGGAAAAATTCATGTGTAATTATTTCCTCAAGTTTGTTAAATTAAAAAATAGATTCTGTGCAGCCATAGGATAGAGATATTCCTTATTTATTTTTCCTGTAGTAATTTCCAAAAGTAAGCCCTAGAATCCACTTCAAATTGCCTACACTTATAATCACACAAGAAAACTATAACACATTATGGGGGAAGAAAAAAGGCAATTTTTAAAAAATAAAACCTTTTTGTTTTTTTCTTGAAATAAAAAAAAAACAAAAAATAGATTCTGAAATGTTAAGTGGAAGCAAATAGATATTTTTCAAATTAAGAAAAAACAGAATATAAAAGAATAAAATAAAACATAAACATGTGAAGACGGGAAGATTTTCAAAAATCTGTTACACTCCGAAGTTCTATGTATATAGGATTAGCAATGGACCATAAATTTCATTGCCAATGTGAACTATTCTAGTTGCCAATGTGAAGACAAACATGATCATTTACACTGACAATGAATTTACCATTAAAACAAGGCTGTTGTTCAAAAGATCTTCTAAGTCTAATACTGAGAGCAGAAAGAAATATTCCCACTATAAAGCAGTGCCTTACACCTACTCTTTAGGTGCAGTTTTTATAATTAACATGATCTCATGCTTCATGAGCTATTACTTAAAATATCTCTAAAAATAACACATTGGCATTCTTTCACATTGAGCTCAAGCATATATTCCTTTGGGGAGTCTGACTTGGATTGGGAATAGATTTGAGGATATTGACAAAAGCAAATGGCTTGTATGCAGTTTATATACACACGTAAATGTTTTTCTCCTAAATAACATTTTTATGAATTTGATGAATTTAAATTGGCATTTAAATTTATATGCCTTGTTGCTGTCCTCTTCTTTATGGCTGGGAAAACATATGGCCATATGTTCTGTCAAGAAATAAGTTTGGAAGAAGATGCATTTTTATGTCCATATTAATCAGCTTAACAAGAATATACTCCTGAATAAAAGTTCAAACTTCTTTTATTAAGAGGCAATGTAAGAGGGTATTCCAAAACAAAGCCAAAATTCCATCCCAAAAATATAATACAGAAACAACAACAATTGTAATAGCCCCTGTCATTTTTCTTTTTTAAACATTTACTGTGTTTAGTTACCAGGCTAAAAACTTTCCACAAATTTTCTTACTMTACCCTTATACTGTAAGCAGATGCTATTGTGTCCTCATTATCTGTAGAAAACTGAGATTCCTCAGTAATGGAGCTGGAGTTCCTATGACTTCTGAATTCTAACCTCTATGGTCTGCTGTTTCTCTAGGTTTTTATAACAAACTTGAATGGTCAGTAAAAATAAAAATAACAATAGCAACACAATGAGTTGTGATAATTTTAGCCAAGAAAATGGTTTCCTCAGGAAAAAAAATTATCTGCTATTTTAGCCATTAAAATACAAATGAAAACAGAAATTGAACCATAACATCCAAACCAACMAGCAAATGCACTATAGTCATCTAAATTAAAGGATTTGCTATATCTAGCAGTAAAAAATCAACTTCCTGATGAGACATAGTTATCTGTATGCTATTTGTGCATCTGCTTATCTCTAATGTGAAATGCATAACTGAAAGATGCATCATTGTTTGGGATTATTAACTACACCAGAAATTGGATACATTTTATTTTTTATATAAATCACAGACTACGGAGCCAACCTCAGGAACTGAAGCTTCTGACAGTTCCATGCAGAAGGCAGGCAGGAGTCTAAAAAGATTTCAGGGATTCTGATCAAGGTCCAAATACCTAGACTATTAGAAAGTACTATAAGTGTCAACATATTTGCTCTAGAGTTGATAACAATTGATCTGAAGTAGTTTGTTTCCTAAAATCACAATAGGCACCTATTTAGATTGACAAGAAGCTAACATATTCCAACATTATTGGTTTGCATCAGTACCAAATCCATGAGAATTTGGAACAGAACTCACTGTATCTGTCATTTATTCATAATAAAATATTGATAATCCATTTATAACTTAAAGTTGTAGATCAGAATATTTTAAAAATGAACTAAAATATAGTACATATCTCCACTTGACAAAAAATATATTAATATAGACAAAATATATGCCTAAGATAATAAAAGGTACTCCTTTTGGAAAATATGAATTAATGAGCCCAAAAATAATTGCATATGAAAACTAAATGTCTTCTTAGTTATACAGTTTATTCCATATGCTTCCTGTCCTTAAAGAAGCTGCTGAAACCTTGTGAGAGCATAACACATAATGCTTTCAAATAACAATAAAATACAACCTAGAATTGATGTGTATAAATTGCTCCTGAAATACTAAAAATTCGTATTCAACACAATATAAATTTTGGACAGGAAAAGATATTACCAACATGAAAGAGTAAACATGATCTGTAGAATCAAATATAACCCTCTCCCTAGATCTTTGCATAGGCCGTAAAAGTTTGTCTTCTTTCATATATGAAATAGGAAAGTCACAAAATGCCAGCTCTCCAATAAAAATGAAAGAAATGAACTTCTGAAAAGGAATGAACTCTGACCTTCTTTACCTCACTATATGATAGCATTAAACATTTTTAAAGAAAGGAAAGTTTAAGTTAGTTTCATTCAGGTTAAGGAATTAATCAATGTTGTGTTTTTAAATCTATAAGCAAAAAGATAAGCCTTTATTGTCAACTCTTTTTCAACTTGTTGCCAAATTGTTGGCCTTTTCTAAAATTAGTTCTTCTCTTTCCATACAGTGAAAAAGACTAACGTTATCTGCATGAAACAAATTTTTTTTTCATGAAAGCAAAATTATACGGTGAGCAATTAGAGTAATGCACCTAGTAAAATAAAGCACAGTGACTACTATATTCATGAGAATATCCAATCCCAGAAAAATTTTTATATTATACAAAATTAATTTTCTAAAGTTAATCAGTATGAAGAATATAGATAATTGGGTCACATATATTGAGTTAAAAATTATAATGACAAAAWCCCTCAAACTTATCCAATGCCTATTACATGCCACAAAGTGGTCTAAACATTGTATATTTTATTTATGTAAACGCTGAGATAACACTAGATAATATTCCATTTAAACAGATAGCAAAATAGAAGCACTGACAAATTAAATAACTTGTTCAATGCTTGTCCAGTGTCACACTTTATAAAGGGCAGAATCAGAGTTGCTAAAGATGGAAGTTCTACTTCATAATCCAATCAACTGCTACCCAAGAAGTAATAATTATCATAAAAAGAAACAAAAAGAAAATTTTAAGAGGCCATCCAAAATTTTTCCCATATTGAATTTAATAAATGTAATGAGATGTGGCAAAAAAATACATTTTTATGTCCAGTTTATTGATAAATAAAGAAATACAGAGTAACACACATTTAATACAGCCTCTATTGTAGATCATATTAAAACATTTTACCTGAAGTTTATTAATTCAGGTAAGTTGATAGTGAAGGACTGTAACCAGGAAAAATATAACAAATTTCTAAAAATTAAAATTGCATTGCATATAAAATATAGCATTTCTCAATATAATAATATATAATATACTATATATTATGTTATATATAAAATATAGCATTTCTCAATATAATAATATATAATATACTATATATTATGTTATATATAAAATATAGCATTTCTCAATATAATAATATATAATATACTATATATTATGTTATATATAAAATATAGCATTTCTCAATATAATAATAGCAACAATCATTACACAAAGTTTTAACTAAAGGTAGTGGCTACAATGAACTCTATGACAATATCTTTCATGCAGAAGGCATTTTGTAATTGAATAGATTTGAAATATGGGCCCCTTTGCTGCTATGGGATTTACATGCTTTATTTCACCAGATTCACCACCACAACTAAGGTAAGTATCTCTTTTGTATCTTTGAGGAAATCTTAGCAAGATACTCTTTTTATTGTTCCCTACTGTCATATATGGACAATCTGATGCATCCAAATTAACAAGAATGGGACTAATATTTGTGTACACGAAATGTCTACATTTATGGAGATATAAGTATACATATATGGAGATATAAATATACATAAGATACAAAGAACCATTGTAATTTAGTTTTGAAATAACATTTAACATTTTTTCATTGTGTATAATTGTGTATTATTTTTATCTGCAAAGTTAATGCTTGTGATTTATTTTTCTTCTTTCCTTTTAAACAAAAGAGCATATTGCTTTAGATCATTTTGGAATGATAATTATCTTGTTTAGAGAACATATGCCCATTTGGAAATATGTATCAGCAATTCAGTATGTTCCCCAAATGTCATTTAATAGCAATTTTTTTCTTCAGTAAATAATTTATCACAAGATTGTTCATCAAAACACCAGATACATTACTGGAAACAGAAGCAAACTAAATGTAGATGGGCTATTAAATAAATCTGAGATACCCATTCATAGAATACAATGCAGTTAAGAAATTATTTTTGTAAAACAATATTAAATAATACTAAGAAATGTTTATGATATTGCATTAAATTTAAAATGGCTTCCAGATTTATATAAAATATTTTTATTTCAAATAGTAATACGATAGTAGAAACAGAGAACAGATTTGATATCTATACATCAAGATATTAGGAGTTTAACTTAGAATAGTAAGATGAGGATAAATTATTTTTTTATTATCCATATTTTCAAAATTTCTGCTGTGAATATATACTTTATAACAGGAAAAGAAGAGTTTGATGAAAACAATATATTTTTAAAATGTTAGAAAGTCATTTTCCCAGTTTCCTGCTCCACCAACTGGGAGTTGAACCCGTGAAAACTAAAATGACAATTCTCTGTCAGCTTAAGCTATAGGATGAAGAAGATGAACAATTAATCCACAAAATGGATGATGCTCCTGCTTGTGCTTCACCTTTAACTACATATTATTTTGGTCAACATCATAGCTAACTTGTCCAACCTGCTTACCTCAGAAAATATGTTGAGCATTATCTCATTATATCTTAACAATAGTCTGTGGAGTATAATATAACAGATTTTATATTTTTTAGAATGTTCTATTACTGGAAAAGCTAGATTTAATAGCCAGGAAGATTCATAAAAGCAGAAATTCAGAAATAATGACACAATCCTGGAATAAATTCTTATGTAAAGTGGGAAAGGGAGGCTGTGTGCTACTCAGTAGTATACTATTATTCACATGTAGCATATTTAAAATAAATACAGTGTTTATGCTATTATCCCACATGCAATGAAAATAAAGGAAAGGAATTAAATGGAGTAATATAATGTGTACTTTTAAGAACACAGGTCTTGACTTTATTAATTTTTTACTTAAACATGCAGCTCAGCTCCTGAAGTGGGAAATGAAGAATTGCACAGTTGATCCAAATGATATATCTCAAAGTCTGGGACAAAGAAATGGCAGTGAAGCTAAAATTAAATTTCAAGAATTTGTAATGGAAAGCATGGTCAACATGGAGAAGAGAATCCAATCTATTTCAGATTCAGAAGCCGATCTCATAAATTCAGAACACTTCCAAAATTTCAGTGTGACAACGGATCAAAGATTTAATGATAGTCTTCTCCAGCTAAGTAACTTGGTTTCCTCAGTCCGGGAATATGAGAATACAATAGGTGAAATCTCCAAGTCCTTAATAAATCTGAATAGCACCTTACTTGATTTGCAGCTCAATATAGAAACACTGAATGGCAAAATTCAAGAGACTACTTTGAAACAACAAGAGGTAAGAATTATTGTATTTGAAGGCCATTTTCTGGAATTAAATCTATCCAGATTCTGTTTCTTCAGGCAGTCCAGGACAAGGAGAGTTGCAAACTCTGTTTCTACATCATCGTCTTTACCTTGGCTCCTCTGGCAATCTTTTCTAAAGGTTTCAAGTGGATTTATCTAGTGCCTTCTCCATACTCCCAGCAAAAGGGATAATTATCTTCCATTAGATGTAGTCTCTTTAAAGGTATTTTCGTTTTATAAATACTATTATAGTGTCTTGTTAGGTTGTCTAAAGCAATTGTAATTTTTAGATTATTTTAGCAGACCTGAAGAGGTAGGCACCCTGTATTTGTAAATTTTTTATAGACCTGATATTGTATCATTCAAGAATGGAAACCTTATTTACATGGGTATTTTTTAAAAAATCAAATTTCAAAATAATTTATTTTGCCACTCCCAAGAGGTACACTCATGTTCTTATATGCACAAATAATTATATAAAAAACTAAATTTTGAGTAATTTATATAATGTTATCTTCATAAGCTCACAATAGAATAGTAATGTATGCTTATCATTATTGTTGGATTAAACATGCTAAGTTTTCTACTTCTACGTTATGATATTCACTGATCATTGGGAAACAGCAACAAGAAAAGCACTAGCATAACGGGGCTAGAGAATGATCAGAGAGTCCCCTATAATAAGAGAACAAGACATAGTACAGACCAGTTATCAAAATTTCTCTGTCAAAGGTCAGGTGGCAATATTTTAGCTTGTAAGGACCATACAGTTTTTGTCTCAACAAGCTGATGCTGCCATTGTCGCAAGAAAGCAGCCATTAGCAACATGTAGAGAAATGAGCAAAAGCTGTGATACGATCAGTATTTATTTACAAAAAACAATCTGTTGGTTGGATTTGGCCCAAGGACTATAATTTTTCTGTCCTTTGCCCTAGACCGTTCCATGGTTAATTCTGTCAAAGATCTAGATTACTCTGTACTTATGAAAAAAAATTATGAAACAAGTCATCAATTCTAAAATTTTATTTTTATCTAGTAATATCATTTGTTTCTTTTCATAAACAATAAATGTTTGACCTAAACTTCACTACTCACTTGAAAAAAATAATCTTCATATTATAAAATACCTAAGGCTTATACTCGTTATATGAAGCCTGTATTTTTATCATTAGTTAAGAAATGCCAGCATCATTGGAGTGGATTTTATTTGAATAGATCCATTCTTGATTAATGCCATCGTTTTCTGTATAAACATATTACAACTACTGATKTTAGAAAATGGACATCACTAGTCCAGCAAAGTTAAAAAGTTACCACTTTGGATGAACACCAACTAAAYTACTGACTGAGAATAAACAAGTTAAGAAATAATGTTCTGCACATTTATAATTTATAAGATTCAATCACTCCAAACTTTTTTAAAAAAAATTTTCCTCACCTTAAGAATGTCACAAGACAATGGCATGAGTGTTTAAATACGGGAACTCCATTGGCAAGCCTCATTTCAATACCAGCCTTGATGTCCTGCTTCTCTTTCATGTCTTTCCTTCTCAACCCTGCCAGTGTTTTTCTCAGCCATTAATAAGGATCTGAGCACATCAAGACAGACTGGGATATCAAAGATTCAAGATAACGGGAGCGGGTAGTGGGAGACACAAAGAAGAAACCTTCCAGAGAGTTGAGGGACACAGGAGACAGACAAGAAGATGAAATGTCAGTTACAGGAGTCGACTTAAAGTTGGAGAGAAAAGAACTATTATTTTATGTGGAAACAGGATTAGAGGCTCACGGGGGTGAGGTGAGAGGAGAGAGAAGCTAGACAAGATGAAAGAACAAAGACACTGAATTTGGCAATGTGCTAAGTCCAACAGAGATGATAGACTGTATTTGAACCCACTGTTAGTGAGGTATTCTAACCAAGTTGAAAACTTTTTGAAAAAAGTAGACATTCTGGACATATTTGAAGTGATAATCATTAGAATCAAAGCCTCATGATCAACAAGCTTTTCTTAGTTGGGATAGATTGCTTTTATATTTTTCAGGAAGTTTCAGCCTTCCAAAAGGGGGTACAAATAAATAACTGCAAAATCCCCAAGCTACATACATTTTTAAAGGTAGTAGTCACTTGCAGCAATTTAGACACAAAGTTGGTAAGGTGGTGCCATTGAAAGTGCTTGCATATGCATGCATGTGTGCTTGGAAAACAACCTTGATGCTTTGATCCCCGTTGCTTGAATAATTTTATTGATCTTTGAATCTTGATCTTTTTTCCTGTGGTGCTGGGGGGGGGAATCCAGTGCCTCACCATAGTAAGTAAGCATGCTACCGCTGAGCTACACCCACATTACTGATCTTTGATTCTGTAGCCCAAAGAGGGAATAGGCGATTAAATGAATGGCCAATCAGCAAATGCTGTTTGTTGAAAATGCTTATTGGTAATACCCCCTTACTATCAAGGATGACCAAATATTTTGAAAGGAAAAAAAAAGAGCACTGAAAGAGAGTGTGGAATTTATCATCTCCATTTTTCATGGAAATGACTTTAAGATGAAAAAATTACATATCCATTTTTATCAGGGCCACTGTTGATAGAGTGTGGAGAGTATGCATGGATATCCTCAAGAAATACTTGTAAAATTATAAAGCATACTGTGAGGATTTTTAAAAAATCAAATGCATTTTCCATCATGTAATGTAATGAATGTAAATAATTCCAAATGAAACTTGTTAAATTTGAGCATCATGTGCATCTTTTTAAAGTGAATAAATATGAATAAATAGGTAGCTTCAGCTTTAGTATGAAAAACAATTGATTCTAGGTATCTAGGAAGTCAAATTGCTAGTTCTCTGACCTCTGCTCTATGGACTTCTGAAATTACCTGACATATTTCCATCAATTTTTAGCCACTTAATACAGTTGAGCTTATTTTATCATGTTACTATAACAGACATTTCATCATTCTATCTTTATTATATGTACCATTTTGTATGAAAAATGCTAAATGACCAGGGAAGGAGGACCTGGAGGGTAGAGCTATTCTAATGTACAGCAAGGTTCCTGGTGGACGGAGACATAGACTGAACAGACAGGACCTTCTCCTTAAGAAGAGTGCCATGGGAGAGGGAAATCTGGGTAAACCTTTGTTTCTTGATCCTCACCATCTTGATCCTCTCRTCTCCATTTGTCCAGTCCAGTCCAGAGAGATATAAATTTATTTTAATGCATGGAGAAAGAAATAATATGCTACTGGCTTGTTTCTGTGTGCAGAGGGAAAATAATAATCTATCAACAGTTGAACATGGAAATACTTGTAAAATCATAAAGCATACCGTGAAGACAGGATGGGATAAGTGCAGAAGAGAAAGAAAGAAAATATTACCATAACACATTAGAAGACTTGGTGCAACAAAAATAGAACCTAATGCCTGAAGAGAAAAATCAGCAAACAATCTGAAAGAAAAAGTAATAAAGAAAAGCATTAAGGGTCAGGAACTTGATACTTGGATACTATAATTTCATTATAGTTTGAAAAGCAAATTAAGTCACAGTGATTTATTATGTATCTGTTCTTACTCTCCAAATTTAAATATGTTGATGGTACCTAGTATTTGGATGCAAAAAAAATGAGTACTGATACAAAAAAGTTAGGAAGAGAATTAATATGGTAACATACATTTAGAGGGCAGTGTTGCARTATTGAATAAAAATTTTAATGTTTAATCCCTTTGGTCAAATCTACTTCCAGAAAGCTGYTCTATAGAATCTGTATGAAAATGTAAATGTATATAAAATGGTATTCATTGCAGCATTGTTTAATTTTGTAAAAAGGGGCACAAGCTCTAATCAATAAGAATCTTAATTAAATTTTGAATAATATACCCAATATGGTTCCACTGTTATTGGAAGTGTCAGTTTTAAAGACTCTAGTAGGTAAGTTTTCRTAGTATATCATTGCACAAAGATAAAAACATATTCCAGAGGATAGTATTCTCTTCTCACATTTTCACACATTCTGTACATGTATACACATACATATACATAAATATGCACAAAATATGTATGTATTTGATATTGTAAAATAATAATGAAGTCTCAATAACAGAAGTGTAAATAGTGGAAAGTTAAATGCTACTCAATTGAATGTAAAAAAATCTATCCTCAATGTTCATTACCACCAACAATTACAACATTAAACTTCGGTTATTGCTACAAAACAATTTCATACATAAAGTCATAAAATAGAAATAAGTTGCCGTTCTAAGTACGCTCAAAAGAAAATTCCACTTCAGATAAATGATTCTTCACATTTTGATATGTACATATTTGTAAATAGAAGCATAACTTAGATATATATTCAAATGATTTTTTGTTGTTATTTTTGACTGGGCACGTAAAAATTTGTCCATATAGTCAAAAGAAGAAATGCTTTGCAACCAAAGAATCACTATTTTAAATACAGTCTGTCTAATTTTCATGTCCTTATTTCATAAGATTCCTATAATATGTGCTATAAAAAACAGAAATTCCAAATTTCTTGAACTTACATATTTGATAATTTTGTGTGTAACAAAAGTCGTGAATGCTCACTATGTTTTACAGGAAATCAATAAATTAGAAGAACGGGTACACAACACATCAGCAGAAATTAAGTCTCTAAAAGAAGAACAAGTTTATGTGCAACAGGAAATAAAAAGAGAAGTGAAAGTATTGAAGAACATCACTAATGATCTCAGACTGAAAGACTGGGAACATTCTCAGGCATTGAGAAATATCACTTTAATTCAAGGTAAAATGTCTTGTGAGTCCTCCAAATGACACCTTAAAATGCACTGATATACACAGAGATTTGATTTTCAAAATGCAGTGGTTTAAAATAGTTTTCAAACATACATACATTTCCTACATTTCTGCACAGCAGATAGAATCTTAAGATTAGATCAAGACATGGTAAGATAATCAGAAACATCAGTAGCTTGGTATCATTGATAAAGGGATAAATAAATGAAATACCTCCTAAGATCCAACAAGCCTTTCACTGTTGAAATTGCCCCATTTATACTGAAGAACAGTGTAAGCTTTTCTGTCACTACAAAGTTCTCTACATGTTCATAACCCAAACTTGTTAATCCTGTCTTTCAATATTTCCATATTTTTCTTACCTCTTACCTTACTATATAATTAATTAGGAACTTTGTTTGAACTCTCCAAAATAGTGATAATTTGTCAATTTCTTCTTTAGTGCTCATTAGTAAAGCAAGGAGAATTGGATCATACTGATTTTTGAATAATATAAGTCACTTTAATTTTACACTAGCTTTTAGGTATTTTTACAGCATAAATATTAGTCCATATTTTGCTTCAACTTTGGATATCCTTTGCTCTAGCTTTGTCATTTGTAAAGCACATTTATCTTTTGTTTTTTTTCTTAATCTTTTTTGGTTTGCTTGTTTAATACAATGTGATAATTTCTTTTCACTTTATTTATGTTTATCATCTTATTTGTTCTTTTTAGTTATACTTGACAGTAGAATGTATTTCGATATATTAGACATACATGGAGTATAACTTWTTMTAWTTAGGATACTATTCTTGTGGTTGTACATGATGCTGAGATGCCCTGGTAGTATATTTAAATACAAGGTTAAGAAARTTATGTTCTATTAATTCTACTGTCCTTCCTATTGCCCTGCCCCATTCCTTCTCTCATTTTTTCCCCTGTGTCTAATCCAGTGGACTTCTATTCTTCCTCTCCCCACCCTCCCTTGTTGGAGTTAGCATTCACATATCAGAAAGAATATTCAGCCTCTGYTTTTTTCGGATTGGCTTATTTTACTTAGCATGATATTCTCTAGTTCCATCTTTTTACCACTAAATGCCATAATTTGATTCTTCTTTATGGCTGAATAATACTCTGTTGTGTATATATACCATGTTTTCTTTATCCRTGCATCCATTACATGATCATCTTATAATTATCTCATAGTTTGGCTATTGTGCATTGAGCTGCTATAAACAGAGATATGGATGTGTCACTCTTGTATGCTGATTTTAAGTCCTTTGGGTATAAGCTGAGGAGTAGGTTAGCTGGGTCAATTGGTGGTTCCATTCCAAGTCTTTTAAAATGGATAGTATCCATACTGCTTTCCATAATGGTTGCACCTATTTGTAGTCCCACCTGCAAAGTATGAGTACCTTTCTCCCCACATCCTTGCCAAAACATATTGTTATATGTATTCTTTATAATTGCCATTCTAACTACAATGAGATGGAATCTCAGTGTAGTTTTAATTTGCATTTTTCTAATTGCTAATGATGTTGAACATTTTTAATATATTTTTGACCATTTGTGTTTTTTCTTCTGTGAAATGCCTTTTAGTTCCTTTGCCCAATTATTGGTTTGGCACTTTTTTTTTTGCTGTTATTTTTTGAGTTCTTTTTATAACCTGGAAATTAATGCTCTGAGCTGCAGGTGGTGAGAATTTTCTCCCATTCTGTAGACTGTGTGTTCACATTCTTGATTGTTTCCTTTGCAGTGAAGAAGTTCTTGAGTTTGATACCATCCCATTTACTGAGTCTTGATTATACTTCTTGTGCTTCAGGAATCTTGCCGAGGTAGTAGGTTCCTAGGCCGACAAAATGTAGTGTTGGGCTTACTTTATCTTTTAGTAAGCGCAGAGTTTCTGGTCTAATGCCTAGGTCCTTGATCCACTTTGAGTTTTGTGTAGGGTGAGAGCGTAATTCACCACATCAATATACTTAAAGACAAGAATCACATGATTATCTCATTAGATGCAGAAGAAACATATGACAGAATTTAGCATCCATTCATATTCAAAACACTAGAAAAACTAGAGATAGTTAGAAGATACATCAACATTATAAAAGCTATATACACTAAACTTGAAGCCAACATTATTGAAAATGGAGAAAAATTGAAAGCATTCCCTCTAAAAACGGAAACAAACAGGAATAACATCTTATATTTATACTCCCCAGCCACCCCCCACCCCACAAGTTTGTTTTATGTTTCCTTTCTTTTTTCTTTCCTCTCTACTTTGGGACTGACATGAGGTTTTTGTGAAAATTTTGTAGTGTATTTTTGTCTTCTTGATTGTTGCCTGCAAAAGCTATTCTAACCCTCTAAAGTCAATCAACATCTTACTATACAAGGGAACAAATGTTTCATCTGATGATCTCCTGTGGTTTCCTGCTGTCTTTTAATGTAGCTATTTCGGGTTTGTTTGTTTTTGTTTTTTTTTTTTTTTTTGCTAGAAATTTAGTCATTGTTTTTCTTACTTTATACAGGCAATATTTGTTGATATTTGTCTATGAGTTTACCAATTGTTCCACCTCCTCAATCTCAGCCATCCATTCTGATGTCATTTTCCTTCTGTCTAAATATATAGCTTTTAGAAATTCATTTAATGAAAGTCCATTGATGGTGAGAGGTTTTGTTTTCATTTTCTCTATTTTATTCTTGATATTTAAGATTGTTTTACTATACACGGATTTCTCAGGTTGACAGTTATTTTCGTTATTTTTGTGTTATAGTTGTCCTTCATCATTTTGAGGTATTGGTTCTTTCAAGCAAAATGGTGGATGCTCAGCTGAATATGTAAACTGGCTTTAGGATTTGTGCGTAACTTATGTTCATTCTCTTGTATAGTTTAAATCACTTCTAGATTGTTTATAATACTTAAAACAATGCAAATTCTACATAAACGTTGTCATACTGAATTGTTTAGGGAATAATATCAAGAAAAAAGTCTTTATATATTTAGTACAGATGAAAAATTTGGGGGGGGTGGTCAGTTGGTTAAAATCACACATGCCAAACCTAGGGATATAGAACGCTGATTGTATTTTGAAGAAATTGCTCCCTTGGCTTCTGGGCTTTCCTTGTTTCTCTTAAAACGACTGCTAGCAATCTGCTTATCCTTCTTTGTCTTTAATAGCTGCAAATTTATTAATTAGTGTTTTTTTTAGTGATTGTTCAAAACATTACAGAGCTCATGATATATCATCTTTCATACATTTGACTCAATTGGGTTTTGAACTCCCATTTCTACCCCAAATACAGATTGCAGAATCACATCTGTTGCATACTCATATTTTTACATAATGGCATATTAGTGACTGTTGTATTCTG